TAAACTTTGGTGGCAGATAAAAACATTCAGTATCTCTCAGGGACGACTCACAATTCTGAAACATTATTCCCTTGTACGATTTTATAGTTTTGGAAGTAAAGCTTTTTTTTTTTAACTAAGAATATAAATCTATGTCCAACTCATTCAATTGTTGCACTGAGAAATATTAAGAGAAAACAGATGCTGTCAAGTGTATCTGTGCTTTTCTGCACAGGATTAAGGTGATTCACCTCTTTCATTTACCCTGCTTGGGAAAGAAAGTTAAATTCCTTCATGCCCTGAAGTGGGAGAACAGAAGCACTAAGCACTCAATTGGAGGGCCAGAGGAAAAGAAGCAGTCAGAAACAGTCCTATAGATGAGAGTTTCTCAGGCCGCACAAGAGGGCAGTTACGCGATGGTTTGGCAAGTTGTATTTAGAAAAGCATAGCTAGATAGGCAAATCGTTGCAAGGTATCCAAAGTGTCTGTCGTCTGGGCTACTCTTAAGTAATTGTCTCTATGAACATTCTTATTCCAAGTAAATGGAAGATATCTCACCGGTTTCCCACTGAGGAGAAAGCAAATACGAGCTTCTTCCCAGATATCAAGAGGCAAGAACATGCATGAAGAAGCTACCATACTATAAATAAACATCCTTCCTCATTTTATAGTAACTTCCATGTAGCCATGGCACCCGAGAGCCAAAAAAGCCAGCATAAAGCAAGCCAGCCACAAGAGAAGCAGTCGCTAAACTGCCAGGCATAAAGAGCGACTACAGAAGCAGAATTGTAAATAATGCACAAGGGAGAGCTTCTGACAGTCCTTACAGAAATCATAGAAAATTTTCCTTTGGTATGTACATTTATTTTCCTGCATCAAAAATATGCCTAAGACTTCTCTTGAAGAAACACCTCAGTTTTAGGATATACTTAAAATATATTTTGGGTGATCTGCTGTACCAGGTACAGAATGATAACTCTTTAGATTAAAGAAATAAAACATTGTCTCTGGGAAGGAAAACAGTCTGCCTTTTTTGCACAAGGCAATAATAATCTTCTTTATAAAAATATAATTCTCTCTCCACATTCTTAAGGATGTATAGTGCAGTATGTAGAAGATAAATTCAGACCTGGTCACATAGCTGCATGCTCTGCAGAGCTTGTGTTACCAACCAGCAAAAAAAAGTTATTCAATGAAAAACAAAATTGTACTTGGTCAAACGGAAAACAGAGATGCGATAGACGAAGTTAGTCATAGTGTAATGCTTATTACAGATGTATTTGTTATTTCTAGGTATTATCCATATGTCTATATCAACAAACTTCAGCATACAGGTTGAAATAGCATTCAGTACTGATGTTATCCACTTGCAATTTGCCCTACTGTCAGTTAGTTAGTTAAGTCACACAATTTTTTTTTCCATTTCCAGAATGAACAAGCGAAGCACTGTAGACAACAAAATAATCAGTAATTCGTTTTCAAGATTAAGTTTCGGATGACTATCTGTTAATGCTACAAAAAAGGCACTTTCAAAAATAATATCTTCATGAATGTTCTCTGCATATTGATTACAAATGCATTCAGATCAACAAATAATGACAAATTATGCTTGTGTTCCTTTTTTTTTTAAAGTGTACTTTGTACTTTATAGTAAATCTTAGTCAAAGACACTAAAACATCTTCTTGGAAATGTATTCTGTGTGTTCTGCTTCTCTATCCCTGCCTTTTTAAAGAGATGCTTTCTGCAGAGTGAACTACCAGAATGTATTGAGCACTGTGACCTTTATGATTTTGTTTGCAAACAGCAAGGTCAGCATTACTAAGACGACAGTTTTGCCTTAAAGGCAAAATCTCTGCAACAACCTAAAATGCACTTTTAATACGTAATTGAACTACAACAATTCTTTTTCATGGGCTTATGAAAAGAATGCCTTGCAAATTCACAAGCAATTTTATAGCATTTGGCCACTGACAATGCATGCAGCCAGAGAAGCTGGCACATTATTTTTTTGATGTCACACAATTATAACTCAGACAGAAGATTTTTACATGAAGAATGCCAGCCAACAAGGACCCTTGTGTTAAGAACAAGCAGAGGACTGCAGAATAATCAGATCACACCAGAAACGGGAAAAGGGCTGGAAAACATGGGACACGACGACCCTTCTCCCGGGGTCAGCAGCAGGCTCTTCCCCTGCTCCTGTTGGTCCCTGCTGGTCAGCGCAGCGTGACGAGCTCACAGCTACACAACAGACTCACTGGCAGGGTCTGCGCTTCCACAACAGCCAGCGCAGCTCATAGAGGAGTCGAGATCCTGCCTGCTTTTGGAAATGACACTGTTTTAGCAGTGCTGTCCACAGCTTGCCCTTGTGTATGTGTACTTAATCCATGGACAATGCTCGTCCAGGTTAAAACTGTTGCTAACAATCAACAGCTTAAACAATGCTATTTCTCAATCTTCATTGAGGGACCTAATTCTTCATTATCTTTGAGGACCTCACAGAGTCACATCCTGTAAGTGTCACAGGGACAGAGTGCAAGACACTCAAATCAGAATGGTAACTTTAATACATAGACACCCCAGTGTTTTAAGAAAACATACTTTAAACTTGCAACTTTAAGCATACAGTTTGATACTGGTGGAAGGTCCTTCTATTTAATGTGCATGGATAAACAAGTACAGGAGGGGTGAGGTAGTAGAAAATCAGTCTTATTTGTATGCTGGGCATCATTATAAACAGTTCCTGATTGCTGTCAGCTTTAGGGAAAGGATGCGTGGAAAGGCTATTTCCATACATGCACCAGATAAAATAATCTTTGCCAGGCAGAAAATTACAGAAAAGGATGGGAAAGAATGTCTTATAGTTTCGTTCTCTGTCACGTTTGCTTCATCTGCATTACAGGCTTCTAAATTTTCTCCCTCTCCTCTATCATACTGCACAGCTTATTTTGATAGTAATTATCTGCATAGTAGCCATCAAGAACTTAATCAAGATAATCTATCAGCACACTATTTAATTCTATCAGTACTTCTATTTCCCTCTTGATCTTTCCCTTTTTGCTGCCTTAAGAGTGTATGAGCATCTGATGACCAAGCATTTCCCTTTCCTCTTCCTCTGCAGCTCCTGAGAGAGAAATAAAATGGAGAGGAGGCAGAGCAGGAGGGAGGAAGTGATTCTGGTGAAGGTAGCAGCTATATCAGGTAACCACCAACAGCCTTGTCTGGTGTGACAATCTTTTACATGAAGCCTTAGAGGATTTTGACTGTAAGCATCTCTTTGACAAGCACATAGCAGAATCCTCCATTACATGAGAATGAGACAGCAAAAGCCACCTTAAAAACACTGCAGAGTGAATGGATGTCAGGGAAGCAGGAGGGGAAAGAGAAAAGAGGTTGTCTCTCTCTCACTGTGAATAAGCTCCACAGGTTTTGGCAGGTTTACAATCAACAAATACTTTTTTTTTTTTTTTTTACTCCCGGGAAGCCTCTTTTACATCAGAGGAGCAGGAAAACTGCAGTATCTTTTTCCCATCATTGATATGTTCCTTACCCAGCAAAAAGCAGTATGTTTGTCTATGAATCTTCTACATAGCCTTTTATTTTGTACAACTACCACCATAGTATTTATTGTCTTACAAATTCTGTTTTTAAAGAAGAGTGCTAAGGGAAACAGCATTTATGTACCTCGATTTAATATAGTTTACACGCGAACAATATGATACACAACATCACTTAAAATTAGCAACACAGCAGGTTACAACTCTGTAATTCCAGCACCTTTCTGAGAAGTTAAAAGGTTGACTGTTGAATTTTAGAGATACTTCACTTTTTAGTGTAGCTTTACATAAATTGTGCTGAAATTTGCTTGAATTTCACAGTTGGAATTTGGGCTATTTTCAGTTGGTTCCAGATAGGAATTATTATGGAATCTGTTTTTAGATCTCTCTTGAAATGTTATTTACAAAGAATCTGTAGACAACTGTTTCTATGAAAAAAAAGCAGAAATCAGACAGAAAGTTCAGTTTACTTTCTTACAATTCCAGCCATCTGTATGGGCTAAATCTTGCTCTCAAAAACAAGGATTTCTTTCCTTTCTCCTAGAACTGCAATTTAACTTGCAGTTGAGCTAACCTAATGGGTCACCATCACTGGAAGGGCATTTCCATCTCCCTCCTCTGTGACTTAACACTCACCATCTCTCTGCTTCCTGCCCTTCCTTCTCCTGTTACTCCCTGTGCAGACTTATTCCCCCACGCTTTGTCGTCTCTGACACTTGCCAAACTCTTCCACAAGTTGATTTAACTCACTAAATTGGAAGAATTCTTCTGCCATTCTGGCAGTCAATTTTCTGCAATTTTAGTTGTTTAAATCAGCACGCACGACAGTCTGGTAGAAATCACCAGGTGAGAGTTCATAGCAGGCAGTGTGGAAAGAGGAGAAGAGATAGGAGCAGAAACTCTCCTCTCAGCAGTGGAAAGTTGCTAATTCTTTCAGGTATCTTGGCAAAACTTAGGATCATGCTGCTGGTAGTTTTTCAGCAGCATTTTCCACCTGGTCATTCTGCTTGCCAGATTACACATCTCCACCAAAAAGCAGCCAGTTTTCTGCATCTGCATTCTGTCCACAACAAAATACCTCTTCCCAATAATTCTGGATCTCCAATCTGATGACACGTACCTGTAATTTTAGGCATGGCCATACCTTTTGTTTCAGATATCCTATACCTAAAGGACCTTAACGGAAATTTACTGTCACACTGTGAGTTTCAGCAAGATCTCCCCTGCTCTTCGTTAAAACAACATATGACTGGAACGTCCATAGTTTGGGTTGCAAAGCAATGGAAAACCATTACAATATTTATGTGAGTAAAAAATACACATCATATGTTTTGCCTTGTAAAATACTGTCAAAAAAAAAAAAAGAGTATTTTCTGGGAAAAAAAAAAAAAAAGAAGTATTTTCCGGGTTAAAAAAAAAAAAACAGTACCAGAAAAAACTTCACATTAGCAGAAAAAATGAACATGTGGCATATCCGAGTTGCTAATGCTGGCACTATTTTCAGGTACGTCTATAGAGACTCTGGGAACGCACATTCTTTAAAAGAATTGACAGGTAGACAAGGAAACTTCCCCCATTGTTATGCTTTCCCTAAACCAACGGGACAAAACTCACCCATCACATCTTTATGGAATACAGTTCGCGCTTCACCCTAGGAGACCTGTTTTACCTCTGTAAATGGAAGGAAAGGCGCTGAGTCGCTTGGCTTCTTGCGAGACTGCTGGCAGGAGCTGGGCTATAAGAAGGAAAGGCGCCTTCCAACTCCGTAGGAAGGAGCGGCGAGGACGTGTAGGCCCCCCGGGGAAGCCCCTGTCCA